TGTTGTGCGATTCAAGTACTCAAATCGCTTCCATCCAAGTGTAGAAAAGATTCACCGTCGAAAGAGACTTACCAACTATCCAAGTTAACACTTCTCATATTTACAGCACAATTCCAAGTCCCAAGCGCGGTATAAGACAAGACAAAATAATTCTGAAAAGCATCAGTACTCGCTCTGGCAGTGACGGCCATCATTCAAATGCAAACTCACGACTACGTGCGAGCTGCCTTATGGGATAGGGCAATAAAATTTTCTCTCCAGTCTCTCGCAATGACGTTACCAGATCACCTGGCTTTTTGTGTTAATCCCTTGAATTAGTTTGCTCTTCGTTTCTCCTCGTCATGTAGTTACGTGATAACCAGTTTCATGCTGAAGAAATGAAGCAATATAAAAAATTTTACGAAGAAAAATAAAATTTTGATTGTTAGAAAAGACAATCAGCAAGTAACCAAAACTGAGATTGCAAAGATGTATATTGGATATCCAACTATAGACTTCTTTATAAAAAGGCACCAGACTTTTGAAAAATTTTGATTGGTCAGTTCTGCAATTATTGATAAAAGTTCTAATCAAGTCTAATGTCAATCCAATNCCAACTGTCCAAGTCAACACTTCTCATATATACAGCACAATTCCAAGTCCCAAGCGCGGTATAAGACAAGACAAAATAATTCTGAAAAGCATCAGTACTCGCTCTGGCAGTGACGGCCATAATTCAAATGCAAACTCACGACTACGTGCGAGCTGCCTTATGGGATACGGCAATAAAATTTTCTCTCCAGTCTCTCGTAATGACGTTACCAGATCACCTGGCTTTTTGTGTTAATCCCTTGAATTAGTTTGCTCTTCGTTTCGCCTCGTCATGTAGTTACGTGATAACCAGTTTCATGCTGAAGAAATGAAGCAATGTAAAAAATTTTACGAAGAAAAATAAAATTTTGATTGTTAGAAAAGACAATCACCAAGTAACCAAAACTGAGATTGCAAAGATGTATATTGGATATCCAACTAAAGACTTCTTTATAAAAAGGCACCAGACTTATGAAAAATTTTGATTGGTCAGTTCTGCAATTATTGATAAAAGTTCTAATCAAGTCTAATGTCAATCCAATTAAGGGTGGCGTGACAATGGTTACGATGTCATAAGCGCGAGTGGAAATTGAGTAACTAGAACGAAGTTTTCGGTATATTCCAATAAAATTCTTGCTGAAACATTCATTCTGCCATGAAAGAAATAGAACGTAAAAACTTGAGAAAAAGAAACTTGGAAGAAGCTTGGTAGAAGTATAGGACGATATTTGAACATCTTTCTCATACTATCACTGACGTAAGGCAGTCGGAAAAAATCTGAAATCTTCGAACAGGAGGTGAATCCATGACCTGTAGGTAATCAAATGATTTTGAGTGCAATTTGGGATAAATAAGCACAAATAACATTTTCAAAGACTAAAAAATGCACGACCTCATAGTGCAGGTGCTTAATTATTCCAAATAGCACGAGAAAAATTATTTGATTACTAGTTAATAGTAAACATGCAATTCAATTTCAACTTTCAACACCGTTAGGGATTTATTGCCGTGCTCTCAGCCAGTCAACATGCTAAAACTTTTGCATGTTTATTATTAAGGGAGTTATTGGGTGAGTAATTTCAAAATCGAAAGTGCGCGCAACGCAAGACCAATTAGTAACTAATCACATCAACAACAAAAATCGAGATGAGGAAGTATTTAAGGAATCTTTCCCACAAAGGGTCAGTAGTTTTTCCCATAAGTCTCACAAACAGTAGAGAAACATTAACAGGGAAGTCGTTAAAACGCACGTAACTGACGTGCGAAAGTCTATAAACAGTGTAACACAAGTGAGATGTAGTACACACTTACCACAATAACCCCATTTTCCCTTGTAAACAGTTTCCAGTGAACACCAAGGTCTTTTCAAAAAAGCTGTGGTGCAGGAGTGATATTTCGATCACTCCCCTGTAAGTGAAAGGAATCCTGCAATATTTGCCATCTGTTGTCCTCTGTAAACACTCAACTTTTGCGGTCGAAGTTGTCCGCAAACGGAAAGAATAATAAAACAAAGTTAACTTTACAGTCTGAAACTGACTTGCTTACTTTCTCGCTATGTCACAGACAATGAACGACTCCCCAAAGTAAAAGGTTTGAAAAAGGAAACTGGAACAGTACAGCATTTTGTTATCAAGACTGCTAAATTTCATGTACGTAAGGGATTGAAGTAGCAGCACGGACCAGAGGAGGTTATTTAGAGCAAGCAAGTCCCTGCTAAATTTATGGAAAGGTTCTGGCCTTCCACTATCTACTAATGATTATCAGGTGGCTAATGATTTTGGAAAATGGGGTATAGTGCTGTATAGTGCTGTATAGGGATGTATAGTGCTGTATAGGGGTATATAATGGTGTATAGTCATCCATCAGTACGGTACTGTATAGTGGTGTATAGTACTGTATAGAGGTGTATAATGGTGTATAGGGGTGTAGAGTACTATATAGTGGTTTATAGGGGGTGTATAGTACTGTATAGGGGTGTACAGCACTGTAAATGGCTGTATAGTGATTTATAGGGTGTATAGTACTGTACAGGGATGTACAGTGCTGTAAATTGGAGTATAGTACTGTATAGTAGTGTATAGTGCTGTATAGGGGTGTACAGTGCTGTATAGTGGTGTATAGTACTGTGTAGGGCTGTATAGTACTGTATAGAGATGTCCAGTGGTGTATAGGGGTGTATAGTACTGTATAGTGGTGTATAGGGGTGTAAAGTACTGTATAGGGTTGTAAAGGGGTGTATAGTACTGTATAGGGGTGTATAGTGGTGTATAGGGGTGTAGAGTACTGTATAGGGATGTGTAGTACTTTAAAGGGGCGTATAGTACTGTATAGTGGTGTATAGGGGAGTATAGTACTGTATAGGGGAGTATAGTGCTGAATAGGGGTGTATGGTGCTGTATGGGGGTGTACAGTGCTGTATAGGGGTGTATAGTACTGTATAGGGGTGTATAGTGCTGT